ATAATAAAATAAAATAAAATAAAATAAAATAAAATAAAATAAAATTAATTAAATTAAAATAAAATAATAAATGTTTTGCAAATGGAAAGAAAGAGAAAGAAAGAGAAAGAAAGAAAGAAAGAAAGAAAGAAAGAAAGAAAGAAAAGAAAGAACACTCGTTTACTTACATGTTTATCCAGAAAGGACATCAGGCTCTGGGTCAGGCACTGCTCTGTCACCGAGCATGCAGGGGTGGATACCATGGTCCCAGCACTGGCCCCACTCACCCTCACAAGCTAGCAGAGTAGGACGTAGATAAATGAGATCAGGTCTCCAATATGTCAGATGCCGCTGGAAACACAGGAGATTGTAACAACTCTACCTGATAAGGGCTACGCAGCGTTCAAGGAAGAGATTCCCTGAGCCAAGTATCATTTGAGCCAGGATTTAAAATTGCTTGCCTCTCCCTCAGTGAAATGAGACCACATCTGCTGGCAAATTGCCTGAAGAAATGCCCGTTGATGGTGTTTCCTGGGAGCCCGGAATAGTGCATGATGCATGCAGCAAAAAATTAGAGACTAGGCTTGAGATTTAGACGGGAAATAAATGGAGGATGGTCTTTGGTGTTCGGACAGGATACTCGTTTGCAAGAATTTTCAATAGCATAATGCAGATCAGAAACGGAAGACATATCTTCGGGCTTCCAGACTGTTTCACACGTGGGTTTCACCAGCCCCCTCTTCCCACCGCTCCTGAGAGGCCTACCCTCTCCTGGACCCACATGTGGGTCCTTTCAGCACGCACTGTTGTCTTTCACAATCGTGAACACTGAAACCTAGGCCAACATGACTTTCCTGTTTTGGTGGAGGCAAAATCGTCCAGATGAGTTTTAATCATGCCTCTGCCTGAAAGGAAGAGATCATAGTTAAAGGTTTCCTGCAGGCCGTGCATTTCCTCCTCCGGGCAGTGTATTTGCAGGCACTTTCCATCCATGCAACATCTTTTCCACAAGCGAAGCTTCTTCTCCAGGTACACACTACACACTGGATTTGTCTTTCCAAACTCAGAAGAAATTTGCTTTCAGATCCCATCTGAACAACTGTTTTCTCAAACTGAATGCTCAGTTTCCTTGAGATAAGTAGGCACCAGTTTGCATGTTACAAATGGAAAGTTGCTATCTCTTAGCGGGTATTTTCTGATACTCCCAAAGGAATTATTACAGCCTTATTCTCTCTGTCTCCCCCTACCCACCCTCTGGTTTCTACAACCCAGAGTATGGGTTCAATAAATACAACAGAAGGATGCCTGGGTGGCTCAGTCGGTTAAGTGTCCAGCTTCGGGTCAGGTCATGATCTCATGGTTCGTGGGTTCTCCCACATGGGGTTCTGCACTGACAGCTCAGAGCCTGGAGCCTGCTTCGGATTCTGTGTCTCCCTCTCTCTCTGCCCCTCCCCCACTCACACTCGGTCTCTCTCTCTCTCTCTCTCTCTCTCAAAAATAAACATTAAAAAAAAATTTTTTTTTTAGGGGCGCCTGGGTGGCTCAGTTGGTTGAGCGTCCGACTTCAGCTCAGGTCACGATCTCATGGTCCATGAGTTCGAGCCCCGCGTCAGGCTCTGGGCTGATGGCTCAGAGCCTGGAGCCTGCTTCTGATTCTGTGTCTCCCTCTCTCTCTGTTCATTCTCTGTCTCTCTCTGTCTCAAAAATAAATAAAAAACGTTAAAAAAAAATTTTTTTTTAATAAATAAATAAATAAATAAATAAGGGTGAGAGGCCCAGAGAGGCCCAAACTGACACCAAACTCCAGGATTCCCTGGGAAACTGGGAAGGAAAGGAAGGAAGGAAATAAGAAAATATTGTTCTTTTTAAATAAGAAAAACAGGCCAGGTGGCTCTAAAAAAAAAAAGAAAACCTTTGTCTCTTCATTTACATGACTCCAGAAACGGGAAGAGAAAGATTGACACAGACTGCCTCAGGTGCTTAAAATCTCCTTGAACCCTTCTTTGAAATTGGAGCTTATCTGCCAGTCTGGGCCACTGAACTGCCAAGGTCCTGCACATGTTCATTCTTTATCTGCTCCCACTCTTTCCAGCTCCCCAAATGGCACTTTCACAGGGAAAATGATACGCATGTAATATATTTGTTCTCTTGTGACCAAAAACATCTGCTTAGTGGGGAGAATATGAGACACCTAGAAACATGGGCAAGGGGCAGA